GGCTACCTATCAATATCACCTATTGGGAGGGCCCTACTGACCTCTCTACAATAAAATCTGCAATAAGTTCCTACATTCCCAATCCTCTCACTTGGCTATACTTCTAGCACTTACTGCTTCTTTGTAAAAACAAAGCGGGAGATGTGGGAGACAGGCTTGAGCCTAGAGTGGAATTCCTAATGACAGCCTTACAGCAGGTCTGAGGCAATGGCCTGACCACTGGAGCCACAAGGAACACCTTGTGATTATCGTTCCATTTGGCAAGTCTGTAGGGCTGATACTTAAGGCTCTCCACTCCCTAGTCACCACCCCTTGAAATTCCAGGTTGTGGTTTATCTACAGCTTACAGCACGTGGGCATAACAACAGCCATAGTCACATGATTTGCCAGAACCAGGGCTGCCCATATATGGCATAGTCATTGTATCCCTGTCTGATTGGTTCCAGAACCAGGGCTCCCATATATGGCATAGTCGTTGCATCCTTGTCTGATTGGCCCAGGGACCCTATATAAGCTTGTAAATTCCTCAATATAATAGATCTACGTCACTGAACCTGGTCTCCTGTGTCTGAATGCGCCTCCACTGACACAGTCTCCTCACCAGCCCTGGGGTCTGGGATTGGGTGGCAGTGGCAACAACCGTGAAGGCGGACCAGACAGACGGCTGCAAGAAAATATTCAGAGAAGCTAGGCATGGTGGCGCACACCTTCAGTCCCAGCACTTGGGAGGCAGAGGCAGGCAGATCTTTGTGAGTTCGAAGCCAGCCTGGTCTACATAGCAAGTTCCAGGCCAGCGGGGCTACAGGGAGACTCTGTCTCAAAAAAAAGACAAAAGAAGAAAAGAAAAGAAAAGAAAAGAAAAGAAAAGAAAAGAAAAGAAAAGAAAAGAAAAGAAAAGAGAAAAGAAAAGATTCAGAGACAGACATGAAGTTTTCAGGAATAAGGTTCAAGTCTTAGATGCTGCCTATCTGAGGCTATCTCTTATCCTCCCAACCATTTCAGGTCTTCAACACGGTGCAAAGATCATGCCAGGGGGAAAGGAAGCTTAACCAGTGTCATAGCCAGGGTGAGGGCTGAAGCCTGAGCCAAGTGTAGGAATGACTTTTACAATACGGACATAATCTAGACTAATGACTTTCACCTATCCTTACAACCTAAAAGGTTATTGCTTATAATGCAAACAAGCTCACTGAGCCACCTTGTAACCTGGGCATCAGGCCTTAATTCCTCAGAACCCTACCTTGCCCAATACCCAAGATAGTGACTAAATGTGGAGGTGTTTGCTTAATATATCAAAGAGTGGGAAGCAGCTTGTCTTTATCATTGAAAACAATGAAAATTGAGAAGTCTGTTTGTAATAGTGTGTAGGGGGGTATTTTAGGCCTAGGGATCAAAGGCAAGATTCTCTGAAAAGATAAGGGTGGATCCTAGCTTCTACTTCCCCAATTCATGCTGGAAATATGGTTTCAGTAAAAGTATGAATGAAGCCTGGCTCGAGAGCACAGGTCCAAGACACATCTGAAGGAATGGATGCTCAGAGTTCAGGTCCACTCACAGCCTTAAAATGAATCCTAAAAGTCAGGCCGTTTCTTTCTTCAGGTATAACTGTAATGTGGCTTAGAAAAGGCACAGCCAAGCCTCCACTCCCTGCCTCTCCAAGGACCTTTTTGTTGAGAGCTTCTCTCAAACCACACTCAGTCTTGCTTCTCATAGAGCAATAGGATTAGCTGCTGAAATTATCCATATTTTTCAAATGCAAAAGCTAAGGCCTCTTGGAGTTCCAAAACCTTTCTGGGGTTATGAACCTTCTGAAGGCAGACCAAGGTCTGGGTGTCCCTGGTCCATGAAAGCCCTGGCTCTCTCGAGATTCCTCTGGCCTTGTGCACAGCCTGAACTCAAAACCCAGATCCTTCTGGCCATGGGCTATCCTAGGCAAGCTCTCTTCCCTCCCTCAGCCTCTTCTTTTTCCACTGGGCGATTGGAAAGACCACCTTTTCACCCCACCAAGCTGCCATGGGGAATGCAGGCAATGACATGGGTAAAACAATGCAAGCATTTGGTGATAACACTGCCAGCTCTGTTCTCTGTCCTGAGAAGGAGGAGTCTCAGGAGTAGTGGCTCCCCTGACCACAGCAGGTACAGAAAGATGGTCATGGAATATGGTTCTTCCCACTTGTCTGTATCAGGCTAGCCAGTGATAGACACAAGTCGGGATACACATACCTTCCTCACCGAGGAACACTGAGGCCCAGCCCAACACAGACCACTGTGCAATGACGCACACAGCTCATTCACTGCACAAACTCCTCTGCCATCTTTAGAAGTGACATGTTGGAAGTTTGGGACTGAGCAAGGAATATTTAAGATAAAATATCAGAGGAGCCAGGTACAGTGACACATGCCTTTAGTCCCAGCACTTGGGAGGCAGAGGCAGGTGGATCTTTGTGAGTTCGAGGGTAGCCTGGTCTACATAGTGAGTTTCAGGACAACTCAGAGGTGGATTTGGAGATATTTTACTCATCTTTTATCAATATTGCATTCATACTTTTATAAGTTGCCTTATTCAATCCATCCTTTAACAACCCCATATGGTAATTGTGGGGCAAAAATGATCACCCCATTTTCCAGGCTAAGGCAAATGAGATTTAGGAGGACTGCACAAATCCAGGCAAATGCAAGGGAAGAATCTGATACCAGACACCTGGTCCTCTGGTTTGAATGTGGGAATGAATTCCCAGATCATCCCTCTTCCAGACCTCCCCATCCACTTTCTGTAAAACAGAGGGAGAGTTAGTTCCTCCAGTATAAGGTGATAGGATTTAATCACTTGGACTTAGTTTTTCTCTGGGACCCAAAGACATGGACAGAGGTAAGGACTCCTTTCTTGTCCCCTCTGCCTCTCCTGTTCCACATACACACAACAGGTATGACCAGAATTCCTGATTCTTGTCTGAGGACTGATCTCAGTTAGGGAGCCAAGCTGACCTCCATCACCAAGACTCTAAGCAGGGTTTCTTAACTTTTCCAATCAACCCAACCACTCTTTGCCTGAAAAAAAAATTTTATGTGATATCATGAGTATAGGCTTATAGAACAGATATGTGGAAGGGTGGAAAGATGGCTCCATGGTTAAGAGCACTGGCTGCTGCCAGTGTGGTGGCTCACACCTCCCAGCATTTGGGAGGCAGAGGTAGGTGGATCTCTGTAAGATCAAGGCCGCCTGGTCTACATAGGGAGTTCCAGACCAGCTGGGGCTACAGGGAGACCCTGTCTCAAAAAAGCAATAAATAAATAAATAAATAAATAAATAAATAACAAATAACACTGGTTGTTCTTGCAGAGGATCCAGGGTCAGTGCAACTAAAGAACCATCTATAACTCCAGGGGATTCAATGCCCTCTTCTGGCCTCTGTGGGCATTGTACAACACAAGTACACTTACATACATGCAGGTAAAACACTCATTCACATAAAATAAAAATAAATAGCTTTTAGCAAAAAGGCGGTTGCGAGATCTGCCCTGGTGAGGACATCAGATCGCGTGGACCTCACCCACCTCTCCCCAACCTCAAACCTCTGATTTTTAGCAAAAAGGCAGTTGCGAGATCTGCTCTGGCGAAGACATCAGATCGCGTGGACCTCACCCACCTCTCCCCAACCTCAAACCTCTGAATAAAGTGGTTTGACCTCAAATTCTTCTTAATTTAAAATAAAGATAAATAAATTTAATTTTTTTTCAAGTCTCAAATCTAAGCCAAGGCGTTTCAGGCAGGGTGCTTTGGTGCTACGTGGGGTGACAGCATTTCGCAGTGCTAAGTGCAAATGTTGCAGGTTCAAAACTGAGGCTGTAAGTGAAGTCCCGTGATCCAGCACTGGCTGTGCTGCCAGGAACACCTCAGACTCGTTATGTGTTTGATTCTGAATTAGTTTTCAGTAGCTGCCCGTTCAAAAACATTTTACTTTTGCCCAATTCTTCATGATCCTCCCATTCAGTTATGTCAGAACCAACTTGCTGCCTTCAAGACAGAGAATCAAATTCAACATTCGAAAGTTACTGCAAAGGTAAGTCAGCTGCCAGGATCACACAAGGACATTGGAGACCAGCATCAGCACTTTTCATACCCAGTCACAGGGTAGACACCCAAAGGACAACTGAAGGGGCCCTGGAGGGGTTTGGGGACAGTGCAATCAAGCTTATAAGCATGCTCTCCAGTCCTCCTCCATCCAATCACCATAATAAAGATGCTTGTATTCCTCAAGGGAGTCACCTGCTAGGCAGGATGCAGGTAGGCTAGCAAGACACAACATTCACCTTGTTATTCAGGGGGTGACATAGACCGTGCAGTTCTGCTGTGAAGATTTAACTCAACAGTAAATCTGCTTACTCAAAGTGCTCCTTATAAGCCTTAGACATTAGACAGCATGGCTCTGCCTCACCTAAAGGTATATCTTCCACATAAGTCTGCACTTAATAGTTGTTCAACAAACCTAAAAATTGAATCACTCTGCACTATAGAGATAATAAATAATGCACTCTTTGGAATAATCTAATCCAACATTAATAACTGTTATACTTTTTGTTGTTGGTTTGAGTCAGGGTCTCATGTAGCCCAGGTTGGACTTAAACTCATTATGTAGCTGAGGCCAGCCTTGAACTTCTGATTCTGCCCCCCCACCCCGCCCCAGGGCTGGGAGTATACCATGCCTGGAAATAACAATTACACTTTTCCCAAAGTGGAAGGAAAGAGACTCTAAGGCCAAATATTACCTCCTCGTAGACACCACATCCTGAAATGACAATGTTGGGCCTGAAGTTAGAAGCTTTCACTTTCTTCTCCATTCTGGAGTTGAGATCTGCCAAGGATGCCTCAGAAAGGATCAAGAATGGACTGGCATCTGAATAGGCCACCTGACAAGGAGACAGACATTGTGATATAGTATGGTTCAGAAATATCTCAGCGGGGATGTCATGAGGCCAGCTCCTGGAAATTCCTCTACACACGAGAGAGAGAGAGAGAGAGAGAGAGACTTTCCAATCCAAACTATTTCTTTTTTTAAGGGGGGGGTGCGTGTGTATGTGCATGCCTGTGCCGTGTGTGTGTGTGTGTGTGTGTGTGTGTGTGTGTGTGAGTACCATGGAGGCCAGAAAAGGGCATCAGAACCCCTGGAGCTGGAGTTGCAGGATTTTTGTAAGTTGCTTGATGTGGGTTCTGGGAACAAAACTTGAGTCCTTCGAAAGAACAGCACTCTTAACTGCTGAGCCCTCTCTCCAGCCCATTTTTTCTAGTGCTTTTTAATAGAAATGCCAAAGTGGCTCAAAGCTTAACTGGCCTTGTGGAGCTGTGTGGCATGAAGAGAACATGGCCTCAGAGTCCTACAGCTGCCACTAGACATACAACTTAGGGACATCGCTTCACCATCCTAAGCCTCCAATTTCCCCAGTGTTTAATAACAAGTGTCTCATTACATTTGATAACTCACTAATTCTGTAATACCTATCTTCATGAAAACTTCAAATGAATGTGAATCACTTACATTGGTCCACATTTTTCTATGTTAAAGTGGTCCATGATGCTACCAAGCCTACTTTGTGATAAATCCTTGTGCTTTTAAGGACCAATTGATCTCCTGAGGTCTGTGGATTCCATACCTACTCCAACCTTGTAGTCTCAAGTGCAGTTGCAAGAAAAACTAAAAATTTGGATTCCACACAGTTACAGAATTGAGTTGGGGGGAGAGACCATTGTGGAATAGAGTCAAGCCTCTGCTGGCCCCAGAATGCTTACCCAAGTAGCCAGGTAGATGTTCATGACCATAAATGCAAGGCACCCCCAAATGAAGAAGCAGAAACCTGCTGCTGTGCCCATCCAGACAGGAATGAAGTCTATCCTAGAGATACTTGTGCCCCTCCCTTTGGCTATCAGACTGTTGAAAATGGGACCCCAAGAAGTTGGAATTTCCCCAGGAATCTCATTTTGGAGAAGGAAAAGACAGGGGCCATGATTTCAGCCAGAGGGGTGCCAGAGTCACTCAGAAAGAAATCTAGCGCATTTCTGACAGCTCATAGACCCCTTGCAGGGAAGCCTGAAAAGTAGACAATGGTAAGGGGGGTTGGGGGACACCACACCTTAACCAGGACTACTTAGTTTTGCAGACCTCTAGCCCTCTATTTAAAACTAAACCTCATGTCAGGATGCCTCCACACCCTCCCACGAAGGACGCTGGGGAGCAGGGAACTCACTGGGCCTCTCTGTTCCTCTTCCCAAAGTGGCCACATTGGGAAAAAAAAAAATCTTGCCAGGCGTGGTGGCACACACCTTTAATCCCAGCACTCAGGAGACAGAGGCAGGCAGATCTTTGTGAGTTCCAGTCCAGCTGGGGCTACAGGGAGATCCTGTCTCGAAAAGACCAAAAAAAACAACAAAAAAAAAATCTCCTTTTTCTACATTTACTCTGTCCGCTTAACTGGCCTTTAAGGACAGGTAGCTAAGCCTGGCTTGTTAGGGCTGTCAGGACCTAGACTTTGAGCCTAACCCTCCCATAGGAAGCACTCTCTTTCTGCCTATTGCTTTGAGTTCCAGTGGCCTAAGGGCTGCCGTGACAACTACAGCATTTAATTCCTCAGGATGTCATATCTCATGTGGGAAGAGCTGAGGCAACTGTTCTCCACACGCAGACCACACAATGCCTCTCACCTTGTCCGTGGGCCTGAACGGAGTCCTAATTTCCTGAGAACTTCTAGGTTGCATGTGGGGCTCGAAGTACACCAGACGACAGGGCTGTGTCTTCAGGAAGCTGGTGATCCACTGAGCTGCAGCCTCACCACAGTCCCTGCCCTGCACCTCCATGCTGTGCACCCTGCAGGGGGGACAGGGCAATGGCAGGCACAAGTTGGGAGAGCTGAGCACTGTAATACCATACATGCTCAATGAATCAGAAAAGATTCAGCGGTCAAACTGTGACATGGCTGTCATCCCTTCATTATCAAGGGACCTTACTGTGCTAAGCCCTGCCTCAGGGCCCCTGCTTCTCTCTTTTCATGACTGTGGATGTGATAAGACCAGCTGCTTGAGTTCCTGCCTTGACTTCTCAATAATGCACAGTACCCTGGAATTGTAAGCTACTAAACCCTTCCTCCTCTCAGCTGCTTTTGTCAAGGGTATTTTGTCACAGCAACGGACATGAAACTAGGACACCATGTTTAAATTTTTTTTAAAAAAAAAAGACAGTAAGCACTTGTAATCCCAGCACTGGGGAGGGAAAGACTAGAAGATCCCTGGGGCTCACTGGCCAGCCAGCATAGCCTACCTGGTGAGTTCCAGGCCAGTGAGAAACCCTGTTTCAAAAAACAGACAAACAAATAAAACAAACAAACAGCCAAGTGTGGTGGCACATACCTTTAATCCCAGCACTCAGGAGGCAGAGCCAGGCAAGTCTCTGTGAGTTCAAGGCCAACCAGGTCTACATAGTCCCAGGCTAGCCAGGGACTATATACTAATATCTTGTCTTAAAACAAAAGTCTAAGGAAACCTACTGCAGAAGCTTCTTAAAATAAATAAATATACAGCATAAAATGTAGTTTTAAATGTAGCTATAATGAGGCTAGCCAATAAAGCCAATACCAGGAATGAGCTCCCTCTTTTGGATTTGTTGACCAGGGAGGTCCCATAGTCCCTCAAACAATACTGGCTATTGTCCCTACTCTTAGTTACTCACCAGACCCTACCACTGAAGACATTACATATGACAGTCCTAGAACAAATAAGGAGAAATCAAATCGGTGTTCTCGAAGCTTCATCTCTACTGGCTAGCTTTCATGGCACTAGAAGGTGCCATGCATGCTACTGGAAGAGAAAAGCAATCATCAGCCTTGCCAAACTGTGAACCCTACAAGTTACAATAATAACTAACCTGGCAAGATACACCACTGGTGCAATAGTGGCACAAATGTTATAGGAGTTACCAACCACCTTCCCTTTTTTTTGGATTTAAGGCCCAGTTCACAAGATAGCGCCTATACCTGGCACTGCCATCAGAGTCGAGACCTGTGGCTAGACAGATCACAAGTTATAAAGGAGAGCTACTACTATTATTCTGCTAAATAGACACATATTCAAACAGACTCCTAATGACATATTGTTTTACCCATAGATAAGCATCTCTCAGATTTCACCAAGAGGCTTCTCCTTGCAGCAGATAGTGATTAATATAGGGATCCAAAAGTGGTCAGTGTGCAGAGAATAAGAGTTCATGGAGTGTTTGGCCCTAAATGAGATAACTATATCATATCCTCTCCTCCCAGGGCTCAAGGATCATTGCAGAAGCAGGGGGAATATTGTAAGAGTCAGAGGTGGTAGATGAATGTAAGAAAACCACATTGTCTAGACACCACAGGGTAGTTGCACAGATGAACCCACAGCGCTTGTGACAACATGCACAAGACCTGTAAAAAACCAACCCAGACAAAAGCCTAGCATTGATGAGGGAAGTAGGCAAGAAGCCCCAGCCCTTGCCAAGGATCTATTGGAAACTGACAGCTGCTGGGAGAGGAAGAGTTGATTTTCTTTAGGGTGTGAAGCCTGGTAGGTTGACCAGACTCCAAGGCATAAACCTGTACCCTAGAACATTTGAGGAACATGGATTAGGCTCAGTAGGTCTTTAAAAAAGAAAAAAAGGGGACTGGAGAGATGGTTCAGTGATTAAGAACACTGATTGTTCTTGCAGAAGATCTGGGTTCAAATCCCAGCACCCACGTGGCAGCTAACAACTGTCTGTAACTACAGTTCCAGAGGATCCGACAGCCTCTTCTGACCTCTGCAGGCATTGCACGACACGGGTGCACTTACCTTCATGCAGGCGATACACGCATACACATAAAATAAAAAAACATATAAAAGTTTTTAAAAAATTTATTAAAAAAAGAGTTAAAAAAAAGAAAAAAATAGAAGACATGGGGAGGGTAGTAGGATTGGGGTGGAGATTAAGGAGGAGTCTGAACATGATAAAAACCATTCTATGAAATTGCCAAAGAACCAATAAAAAGTTTTTAGAGGAGGAGGAAGAAGAGATGGTGAGGAGAAGTAGGGGAGGAAGAGGAGGAGGAGGGGGAGGAGAGGAGGAGGAGGGGTCTCCAAGACTCCAGGGGAGGACAGAATCCTAATTGTGATTATTACCAGGCAACAAACATAACTGGCCTGGTATCATTTATGCTAACCAACTCATACTTTTTACCTCTGATTCTGAGCTTTCATGTTTCCCTTACTTAATTTTAGTTGGTTTTTGAAAAATCACTAATTCTGGGCTGGAGAGATGGCTCAGCGGTTAAGAACACTGCCACTCTCTCATATACAAAAGTAAGGATAATTTTAAGGTTACAGTAGGGCTCGCTCTTGAAGGATGCTTGTGGAAATGACCAGGAATATAGTTCAGTGGTAGAGTACTTGCCTAGCATGTATAAGACCCTGGGTTTGATCCCCAGCATGGGAGAGCAGGGCAGGGCAGTGTAGGACATCAAAAGCCCTGTCAGGGCAGGGCAGGACAGGGAAGGGAAGGGACAGGAAGGGAGGCCAGGCATGATAGCATGTGCCTGTAATTCCAGCAATGGGGGAATAGAAACAGGAGGATCAGGAGCTCAAGGTTGTCCTTGGCTTCATAGTGAGTTTGAAGCCAACCTGTTCTAAGTAAGACCCTGTTTCAAAGAGAAGAGGAAGAAGAGGAGGAGGAGGAGGGGAGGAAAAGAAAGAAAACAAGCCTAAGTTGATCTATCTCAAACCAACCATGGTGATACCTGTGATCTCAGCATTCGGGTGGTAGCAGGAGGATCACTACTGCAAATTCAATGCAGATTGGACTATATACTGAGATCCTGTCTCAAAAGACAAAGGAGGAGGAGGAGGGCAATGATGAGGATAAGGACCAGGACAAGGGAGGAAGAGGAGGAGGAGGGGAGGAAGAGGAGGAGGAGGGGAAGGAGGTTGCTAAAATTATTAAAGTAAGCATGTGATTGCTTCAAAATCCAGTTCACCTGCCTGGGGAATAATAAAGAAATCTTTACTGATATCTTTGCTATATTTGCCCTATGTAAAGACAAAATGTACAGAACAGTGATAATGCAATTAGATATGCTCACAAAATGATACTTATATAAATTGGTGAAGTCACTCTACAAACTGATTAAAGAACATGTATCAAAAACCTAGCTGGGAGCTGGGCGTGATGGCACACACCTTTAATCCCAGCACTCAAGAGGCAGAGGCAGGGGGATCTCTGTGAGTTCAAGGTCAGCCTGGTCTACATAGTGAGTTCCAGGCCAACGGGGGCTACAGGGAGATCCTGTCACAAAAGACCAAAAACCAAGCAAGCAACCAAACAAACAAACCAAAAACGCTATAGGAGCTGTGGTCCTCTCCCCTGAGCCATGGTTCCACATTCCTCTGGTAATGGGCTGATGGTAGAGCAGATTGGAGGATGAAGGCAGCAGTTTCAGCCTTCTCTGAGTGGCTGCATCCCCCCACTCCACCCCACCCTCACTATAGTGGTCAGAAGTTGTACATGACAGCAGCTTTGCCTCTATGTCAATCTTATGCTGGGGACAGAGGAGGTTTCCATCATTTGCAGATTCTAGCCTTGGGAGGACTGATTCTCAAGAATGAACTTCCCACCTCCCTTGACAGCCAGCTGTGGTCCTGACTTCACATGTGGTCCCGGGCACCCAGGCCCTGATTATGAACCTTTCTCATTCTCAAGCATTAAGAGATTTTCCATCATTTTTTTATTACTCTTCTACAACCCCAGTGCACCTGCTCCTGTGTCCTACAGAAAATGTAAATCACCTAACTGAACTTCTAGAGATTAAAGAAAAAGAACACGTGCTGAAGAGATGGCTCAGTGGTTAAGCGCACTGACTATTCTTGCAGAATACCTAGGTTCAATTCTCAGCACCCACATGGTTGCTAACAACCATTCATGATTCCAGTTCCAGGAGAATTGGACGCCCTCTTCTGATCTCCTCAGGCATTGCATGACATGGGTGCACTTACACACATGCAGGCAATATACTCATACACATAAAAATATAAATAAATAAATAAATAAAATATATTTTAAAAGGAACATTAGACAAGTTGGGGAAGTTGGGAGGTGAGTACTGAATGTATGAAAAATTCATTGCATCCATGTATGAAATTCTCAAAGAATCAATAAAAATACTACATTAAAAAAGAAATAAATGTAACAATTACACTGAGAAAAAATAATTAATTAAAAAGCCTATAGAACCTGAGCCAGATATGGTGGTACATCTCTATCAGTCTCTCACTTGGGAGGTAGACACAGGAGGATCAGGAGTTCAAAGCCAGCCTAGGCTAACATAAGACCTTGTATGTATTAATTATCAACTTGACAGGATCTAGAATCTTCTAGGAGTTGGGCCTCTGGGCAGACCTGCAGGGGATTATCTTGCTTATGTTAACTGATATGGGAAGACCTATCTTAACTCTGGTCAGGGACCAGGCCCAGGGTCAAATCCTGGACTGCATAAATGGAGAACAGGAGCTGAGCTGCAGTGTGCACCCGTCACTCTCTGCTTTCTGATCCTGGATGCCACGTGACCAGCTGCTTCAAGTTCCTGTACCTTGACTTCCGAACTGTGATGGATAACGCTCTTCAACTGTGAGCCAAAATAAACTCTCCTTTAATTCGTTGTTGGTTTTGTTAGATTATTTCACCTAAGGAATGAAACTAAGGAAAAGAAACTAGGACACCATGTCTCAACAACAACAACAACAAAAAAAAAAAAGGTCAAAACAACAACGAAACTTAACAACAAAAAGTTATAGGCTCTATACTCAGTTCAAACAGACCCACTGTTAACATTTTTCCCCCTAGGGAAATAATGAGAGATGAAAATGAACAAAAATTTGTGCCAAGATATTCATCACATTTTTTTCATATCTGGAAAACACTGAAAATAATTTAAATGCTAATCATGGAATGTATAATGTATAGAGGATACTAGCCTGCAACATGAATAGTATGCCAATGTGAAAAGAGGTGGTATCTTTTAGAAGAGAAAGAATCTGTTTGGCTTAAAATTTCAGGTTGCAGTCCATCGATTTTCTGTGATGGACTATGTCTTCCTTTGGCACTTACATTGCGTTTAAGCGAAAACACAGAAACAGTGACAAGAACATAACAAAGTCAAACTCGTTCTCCCACAATGGTAGAAAAGCAACTCTGCCTGTGATTTCCTAGAGGTTAAACTAACTTTCTAAAGCGACTGCCTTCTCACAGTGCCAAGGAGATGGAGTGCCCGCCCCCAAGCCAAGTCTACCTCCCTCTGACCTAAACACAGGGCATCCCTTTGGTTGTAGCCGAAATGGCCAAACTGACTCCATTTTGCTCCAGCTGACTTTGGCTTCACCCTGTTTTCACCCAGCCATTCCCACTGCAGCCAGCCAGGCAGAACGTCTACACTGGGTTTTTGTGTCTCTCATCCCCATAAGAGCTCTGAGTCCACTTCCTTTTTTCACCTGCTAGATCTCCACAACGTTGGGGGCTGAGCCCTGCAGCTGACTCATTTGCAATCAGTGGCCTGTTTTCTGAATTCCCTGTTGTTCAAATATCCTCAAATTGCATGAGTATATGCAGAATCAAGATTTAAATATAAATGGATGTTTATATCTGTATTTATAGGAATGAAGGTAGAAGGGAAACTCTCAAGAGGGAGGAAGGGGTCTAAAGGGAGGGAGGGGGACAAGAGAAGGCATGGAAGGGGGTAGAAGAAAGGCAAAATATCTCCTGTTTTCTCTCATCCATGGAATCTAGATTTAACTATCTATCTATTCCATCCATCTACTTATTTATAGACAGGATTTCAGGTATCCCAGGCTGTAATTGAATTCACTATGTAGCCAAGGATGACCTTAAACTTCTGATCCTCCTGCCTCCCCTTCCCAAGTGCTGGAATTACAGGTGCGCACCACCAAGTCTAATCAATGTAGTGTTGGAGCTAGAACCTAGGGCTTTATGTTTGCCAGACAAACTCTACCAGCTGAGCTACATCTTCGTCCCTATATACACATAGATATGAAATGAAAGACTAGGAAGATTGAGGAGAAGAAGGGGACCAGTGAAGGGAGGTAGGAAAAGGAAGTCGGGGGCTAGCTAATACCAGCAAGGTATGATAATGTGGGTGTGTGAAAATACCATAATGATTAATGAAAGAATAATGATTAAGTTAACAACTTAAAGACTAAAATAAACTTGCATGAGTATTTATTCCCACAGGCCAGAGACCTGTTCTTCTTACCTGCACTGGCGCACTGCGTTTGTGGCAGGTGGTCTGATGGGCAGCAGCAGGTCCTTTGTGTAGGCTGCACCAAGAGTCAGGGTGTCATCCTCACAAGTCAGGGAAATCAGGACCAAGCGAGGTTCCTGCCGGGCAGTGATCATGTTCCCCTCCTCGTTGATCACAAGCCAAAACCTGACATTGTCAAAACACAGGCTATGGGTAGTCACAACAAGGCAGCCCCAGCCGTTGCTGCAGTTATACAATTATGTTTTATTTCCTCCCTGGAGTTTGTGAGGTTGTGTGTGTGTGTGTGTGTGTGTGTGTGTGTGTGTGTGTATCTGTCACTCATCTGTCTGTCCTGAACATCAGCTCAGCAACAAGAAAGTCTGAAGCTGTTGGTTAATTTCAAAAGGGTAAATAATCATTCAAGCATTGCCAGGCGTGGTGGCCCACACCTTTAATCCCACCACTTGGGAGGCAGAGGCAAGCAGATCTTTGTGAGTTTGAGGCCAGGCCAGCTGGAGCTACAGGAGACCTTGTCTCAAAAGACCAAAAATTAAAATAGTCATTCAAGCATTGACATATAATAAGTAAAACAGTTTGAGTTTCTTTTTTTAGATTTTTTTTTCATCATTTTATGTGTACAAATGTATTGCCTACATGTATGTAAGTGCACTTGTGACATGCAATGCCTGCAGAGGTCAGAAGAGGGCACTGGATTTCCTGGAACTGGAGTTACAGATAACTTCCAGTTGCCATGTAAGTGCTGGGAACTGAACCTGGGTACTCTGAAAGAACAGCCAGTGCTCTCAACTGCCGAGCCACCTTCCCAGCCCGTTTGAGTTCCTTGATGCGACATCAACCAAAGGTGTTATTTGTACTTTATCTCCATTGCCAGGACTTGATCACTATCATTAAATGTGTCCCAGAAGATAAGAATCCACTTCACAGAAAGGCAGAGGGTGACAAGCAAGGAGCTCTCAGCATCAGAAATGCAGAGACGATTCCTCAGGGGGGTCCCAGCCCTAGTCCAGAAGCAGCAGGTGGTACCAACTCCACCTACTACCTTTACTGATTTTTATTTAATTTAAAAGAGGGCCAAAAGGAGGCATCGGATTTCCTAGAACTGGAGTTCCAGATGGCTGTGGGCTGCCATGTATGTGCTTGGAACCAAACTCAGGTCCTCTGTAAGAGCAGCTCTTAACCACTGAGCTCTCATCTCCTCAGCCTTCCTGCCACCTTTAAAAACAATATTTCAATACTGGATGCTGTGGATTCTGTGATTTGCTAAAAGGTCTATTGTCCTTCTGGACAATATCCCCCCAGCCCCCCAGGACTCCTTGGCCTTAGAGA